ATATTTCTAATGCCTTTTGGAATACAAAGCAACATATTGTAAAATTACAATATTAAAAAAAAATTAGTGAAAAAGATATTCCTTCAAAATCTAGAGCAATTCACATGAATAATGAACTAGAAATTTATTGTAAAAATGAAATTCAAGATTTATTAGATAAAAAAACTCATAAGACATTCTAAATCACCATGGTGTTGTTCAGCATTTTATGTTATGAATGTCGTAGAATTAGAAAGAAGATCACCAACATTAGTTATTAATTATAAACCTTTAAACAAAGTTTTAAAACGGATTCGTGATCCTATTCCTAATAAGCGAAATTTACTAAAAAGGCTTTATGATTTAAAAATATTTTCAAATTTTGATATGAAATCTGGATTTTAGCAAATACAATTTCATGAGGAAGATAACTACAAAATTGGTTTTAATGTTTCTTTCAGACATTTTGAATGGAATGTAATAACTTTTGGATTAAAAAACACCCATTCTGAATTCAAGAATATTATGAATGATATCATAACTCCTATAATTAGTTTTGCTATTGCTTATATTAATGATGTCCTAATATATTTAAAAATCCATTGATCAACATTTCAAACATTTAAATCAATTTCATGATTTAATCTATCAAAATGGTTTAGTTATCTCTGCAGCAAAAATGCATTTATTAAAGATGAAATTCGTTTTTTAGGACATGATATTGTCAAAAACAGTATTCGACATATTATAAGAAGCTTGCAATTTTTTACTAAATTTCTTGATGAAATTCAAGATAAAAAGCAACTTCAAAATTTTTTACGATCCTTAAATTATATCAAAGATTTTTTCAAAGATTTACGCATTATATGTAAACCGCTTTATAGTAGATTAAAAGGTAATCCCTAACCATGGACTCAAAAGCATATATATATATATTATATATATATATATATATATATATATATATATATATATATATATATATATATATAACAAAAGGTTCCTACTTTCCCATGTCTAACTCTACATCATCTCAATGCCAATATCATAGTTGAAACCGATACTAGTAATATTGGATTCGGAGGAATTCTAAAACAAAATTTTTTAACTCAAAAGAGGAACAATTGGTTCGATATTATTGTCATCCATGGAATGATGCACAAAAAAAATATTCGATTGTTAAAAAAAATTTAAGCATTGTTTTATGTATGAAAAAATGTGAAGATGATTTATTTATGAAAAGTTTTTTATTAAGAATAGATTGTCAATCTGCAAAAACAATTTTAGAAAAGGATGTTAAAAATATTATTTACAAAAAAAATTGCTCGATGGTAGGCCCTCTTAGGTAACTTTTTTTTTTAACGATAGAACTTTATTAAAAACAAAAACTAGCCAAGAGCTAGAAAAATTACATCAAAGAAGTAGCAAGATAGGGGGTATGAAGCCACTCGGTCCAACGTAAGTTTACCCTACTACATCTATTAGAAATCCAAAAAAAATGAATTCTCAACCACATCATCAAAAATACCCGACTTTTTGGGTAAAGTCGTCCCAAAAAAAGACGCATTCCGGAAATTCCATAAACACCAGAAAGACGTAATAATAACCGCATCAAACGCCTTTCGTTGACCTCTACTCAAATTGACCCCATCCGACTAGTTGATTAAGGACTGCACAGAGATGTGCGATGGTAGAGATAAACCCCACCATATAGCAACCCTACCACAAATATCATGTAAGTCGCAGCAACCAGCAAAAAGATGCTCAATAGTCTCGACTGCAACACCTCTATTCGATAACCTCTCCATCGTAGGAATACAATAAAGTTGAATCCTCCATAGTAGAATATTAAGCTTAATAGGGACCCAATTATTCCATCTAGTACCCCTATCATCCGAAGGAATTAGAGCACTATCCAATGCAAATCTAACTGACGAAACAAAAAAAGAATCAGAACTATCAAGCATCCACCCCAATCTATCCGGAACCTGTTGAAGTTGAACACCCTCCACCACTTCCAAAAAAGAAAGCCATTGAGATTCTTCAATTCCACCTCTAGGCATAAGTCTAAGGACATCAGGGTTCCACCCCATTAAAAAACAATCCCTGACATTAGTTGATTTTTTCATATCCAACGCAAAGACACGATGAAAGGAAATTGAAAGAGAATTATTGTCATGCCAGTTATCATGCCAAAAGGAAGTATACGCCCCATCCCCAACTCTTATAGGAGCTAGGTTATGGAAATCAAATCCCCTATCCTTGAGATTATTTACAATCGTTGTAATACCATTCCAAGGACCCTTCCACTGTCTCCTTGGAATCAAAGAATTATTATTATCCCCCAAACCATATATACTTTTGACGACCCTCACCCATAATAAATTTGGTTTATGAAAAAACCTGCACTTCCAACGTAATAATAAAGCCCTATTAAAGGAAAAAAGACTTCCAATTCCCAAACCTCCAACTTCTTTCGGGGCCAGAATTTTATCCCACCTAACCCAATGCATACGACGATCATCCAAATCAGCACCCCAAAAAAACACTGATCTCAATCTCTCCAAATCCTTTATCACTGTAAGAGGAATCGGATAAATGGACATTAAATAACTGGCAAGCGAACCCAAGACAACTTTAACTAGAGTCATACGCCCCCCATAAAAAAGACACTTGGCTTTCCAAGTCACTAATCGTTTCCGGAAAGAATCAACAACAGGAGCCCAGGAATCAATTCTAGCCATATTCTGACCAACGGGAACCCCCCAAGTGTGAATACGGAAAGCAGCCCGGGGAACACCCCATGTAATTAGCCATATAAGACACTTGATTAGCCGTGACTCCCACTCCATACAACTTGCTTTTAAGAATATTGATTTTCTGACCCGAAGCTAGAAAGAAACATCTAAGAATACGTACAATATGAAGTGCATTCTCCTGATTCCAATCTGTCATGTGAACCACATCATCATCATATAAAAGGTGGGAAACAGAAATTTCCCCAATCTTGATTCCCCTATAAGCATTAACTATATGGGCCCTAGTAATAGCCACATGCAAACCCTCCATGCCCAAGACAAAAAGAAATGGAGATAGGGGATCCCATTGTCTCAGACCTCTGAACATTTGAAATTCCCAGGATGGAGAACCATTCACCAGTGCCGAGACTGTAGCAGAAGGCAGCATCTCCAAAACCCAATTACACCACAAAGAGCTAAACCCCATAATTCGCATGATTTCAAGCAAATAATCCCATGAAACCAAATCATAAGCTTTTTCAAAATACACTTTGAATATCAAAACCGGATTTTTAGAAGCTTTACTCCATGCTACAATTTCATTGAGAAGAAACGGACCATCTAAAATATGTCTGCCTTTTATGAAAGCTGCTTGCTTCACACTAACCAGACTATCAATAACCTTAGCCAATCTATTTGCAAGAAGTTTACCAATAATCTTATATTGGCAACCAATAAAAAAAATAGGTCTATAGTCTTTTACAACCTTCGGGTCTCTAATTTTTGGGATCATAGTGAAAAAGGAAGCATTACATCCCTTTGGAATAGACGAATGCGTATGAAAATGTGACAATGTCAAAAATGTCATCCTGAACAATATCCCAATACCGCTTTATAAACCCAAAAGTGAAGCCATCAGGACCTGGAGATTTTGAAGATCCGGAATCCCACACTGCCTTTTTGATTTCTTCTCTAGAAAACGGAGCATGAAGAAACTGGATTTGATCAGACGACAGATGTGAAAAATGGATTCTTGAGTTCGGGGCCGAGAACCCTCCTACTTAGAAAAGAAAGTTTGAAAATGACCACGAAATTCCTCCTTCACCGTATTAGGATCATCAATCCAGCACCTATCCTTCAAAACACCCCTAATAGCCATTTGTCTTCTCTTATTATTTATAACCCCATGAAAATAACCCGACTTTTCATCACATTCGATGCCCCACTTGATTTTCGCCTTTTGGGGTAACTCCAAATTAGTAAGATGGTCTAGCTCTGTGATATTTCTAAGAATATTAACTTGTTGCTCCCGTAAGGAGGCATTCCCCCCATCCATCATGAGAGAAGAATCAATTGATTCTAACATTGTTTGGAGTTCCATGCGTTTAGAACCCATTTTGGCCCTAGAAGATGTGTTCCAAATACGAATATTTGCTTTAAGTAGTTGAAGCTTCTTCTTAAATTTAACCCAAGGATGCGAAACCATGGTTAAATTCTAATCTTGGGACCACGAATTTCTGACAACATCATCGAACCCCTCCAATTGGAACCAAGAATAGAAGATACGGAAGGGAGTAGGCTCATAATCAACTCTATGCTCCGAAAGTAAAATAGGTTTATGATTTGGAGTATACTTTTCCAAAAACATACCTGTCAAATGGGGAAAAGCATCCAAAATACCCTAAGAAGTTAAAAATCTATCCAATTTACTAAATTTTGAACCCCAATTGTCACTCCATGTAAAACGAGGACCACCAAGAGGAACATCGAATAAACCCACTTGCTCAATAAAATTGTTGAAACTCCTGGTTGTATTAGAGTGAAACATAGAACCAAATCTTTCCGAATCATCCTGAACCTCATTAAAATCACCCATCAAGACATAGTCACCTTGGAAAGAACTAATAAGCTGGAGAAGATTATACCATAGAAGACGCTTGGAATCAGCCCCTTGCGGAGCGTAAACCACAATAAACATGACCGGAAGACCCGAGGAAGCCCATATCGCCTCAATAGCCGTAAAAGAATCCGGGATATGGGAGGATTTAAAAGAGACAGAATCCAAATCCCAAAGAAGAATAATGCCACCCGAAGCTCCACGAGAAGGAGAGAAAGCGTAGGAAAAAGAATTCCCCCAAAAAGACCGAGCCATACAAACATCAATAACTTCCATCTTCGTTTCTTGAATAGCCAACAAATTCACCTTATTTTTAAGACACAAGTTCGGAACCCTAGTCCGTTTATGTATACAACCCTCTCCTTGAATATTGATGGAGAGACAATTCATCTCAACACTATTTTATCTCTGACCCCTTCAACAATTTCTTTTACTCGATCATAACATCCCTCCAAGTCGTATCCCATTGCCTTTCCCATCTCCATTGTTTTTTGGATCTCACATAAGAAAGACCCTTTATTATACGAAGCATCCAAACAACCAGCCAAGTTGTTACTATTAGAAAATCCTTGAGGATGAGTTAAATTATCTTCTGAATCAACAATACTCGATAACCTTCCAAAACTACCCGAAAAACCAATTGGCGTATCATTAGTTTTCGCATTTAATTCCTGATTAGGTTCATGGAGCCGAGATTCCAAAACCGAAGGTAAAGAAGGAGCTATAGTTGCTGCCGGGTTGCTATGCTTAACTGAATCACCTGCTGGATGGAATCATTGATCACCAGGCCCTGTTTTGTTGGCTGAGCAGATCTCAAATTATGAAGCCGAGAAAAAGCAGGTAAGTGTTCGACATTTTGGTTATGATTGGAAGACCTGCTGTGACAAAAATAATTCTGCTCCTCTCTTTTTTCTTGAGAATTCCGAATTTTCCCATCACTATAAATAAGAATACTGCTACTTTCATTAGTTTGTAACACATTTTACTTTTGAATTGAATTCGCTTCCATTTCTCCCATCCTCCTTCATTTTTTTGATAGTCTCATATATTCCAAATGGATCAAATGACCCTTCTTCCTTGTCACCTTGCAAATTTTCATCTTGATATTCCAATCCATTACCATGCTCACTTGAACCATCACTGGTAACCTTATTTTCCCATGCAAATGATGGAGTCCACCCCAGTGCTTCCTTTATTCTAACCAAAAAATGATGTCCATCTATATTGAACGTCATAACCTCTGAGATAATCTCTTGAAAAGAAGATAGTATACAAATTTTTTTTTATATACATCCTCTCCCAAATCATCATCAAGATGAATAATTTTCCCCACTTATCCAAAATATTTTTAAATGCTTGCTTACTCCATGCCCGTAGAGGTAATCCTTCCACATCAACCCAAATCAAACGATGTAAAGGGACAAAGTTTCTATCCCATGGTCGTTTCTCAACTATCCAACGACCCATAGCCCCGCTTTCAAGGAAATTTTTACATGCATCTTTATGTTTAAACTCCATTATTACCCATAAACCGCCAATATAACGGATGTCAAAATCGTCAAATCCTTCATCATAACATAGCATACGAAGATTTCAAATCCAATGATCCGTAGCCCTCTTAGGTAACTTTGGTTTCTAAATAGAATTCATAAAAGGAGAAAATAATTCGCTTCCTGACTATCTTTTTCAAGAATTTTTGCAGGGAAAATGAGTTCATCCTCCTCTTCCAGACATGATTTATTTATGGAAAATGAATAGAAATGGTGTGTGTGTGTGTGTTGTATATATATATATATATATTATATATATATATATATATATATATATATATATATATATATATATAGGGGAGCATTCAATCGAAAACATTTCTTATTGTGAAAACATTTGAGAACAAAATTTGATCACATAATTTTTTTTAAATTAAAATCATCATATACTGTTAATATAAACGAAGAAATAAGTAAAAAAAACTATTAAAAAAACTCACTAACCAACACCACACACCACTCAAACAATACCATCCACCACCACCACCCATCACCGCCACCCACCTCCACCACCCGTCACCACCACTCCCACCCACCACCCAACATAATCACCACCATCCGCCATTATCAACCACAACCATCATCCACCACCCATCACTACCACTAACCACCACTACCGATCACCATCGACCACTACCACCCGCCAAAATCACCATCACCTCCACCCACAACAACCATCACCTACCCACCTCTACCACTCATCATTACCACCTAGCCACTACCCACCATTATGACCACCAACACCACTACCACCAACAACCACCCACAACCCATCACCACACTTGTCACCATCACCATCCATCACTACCGACCACCATCACCCGCCCCATTTCACCAGCCACCCGCCACCAACCAAAACCACAACTCACCCACCTCTTCCACCCATCACTACCACCCACCTACTACCCATCACTATGACCACCACCTATCATTACCACCACCCACCACCCATCACCACCACCTACCTCCACCACCCATCATCACCACCACTACCATCACCACCGATCACCACCACCTATCACCGCAACCCGTATTTACCACCAACCACCACCTACCACCTATCACCAACACCCAACACCACCATCACCATCACCACTAACTACTACTACCCATCACCACCAACTGCCACCATCACCTCCACCCACCACCCACCAAAACCACTGACCAATGACAACCACCGACCACCACCCATCACCACTACCCACCTTCACCACCCATCACAACCACCCACCACCAGCACCCCACCCATCACCCACTAAAACCACCATACGCCATCACCACTCTCACCACCCACCCACCCACCACCACTACCTATCACCTTCACCCGTGTACACCACCCATTACCATCGCTCGTCACAGCCACCTGCCACCCATTATAATCACCACCCACATGTCACCCCACTACCCTTCACCACCACCACCACCACCATCTACCACCAAACATCACTACATACGACCACTACCCATGATTATGTGTATATAATCACATGTGATATTTGTATTTAATCACATATGTTTTATATGGACAATATTCTTTTTTTATCCATATAAATTATATGTGATTGGATACATATAATCAGATGTGAGTAGATATATTTAATCAAATATGATTAGATATATTTTAAGAACATATGTCATTATCGTGTTCTCGATTCAATAATTATTTTTTTGTCAGCTTTAATCATATGTGATTAGGTACATATAATCACATGTGATTATATGTATCTAATCACATATTATTGATATGAACAATATTGATTTTTGAGTTTTCGTTTCAATATTTTTTCTCATATATTTAATTACATGTAATTATAAGTATTCAATCACATATGATTAATGTAGACATACATTTGTTTTCATGTACTTGATTCAATAGTTGTTCTCGTGTATATAATTACATGTGATTATATATATTTCATCACATATGATTTATTGAAACAGAACGTGAAAACCAATCTTTTTCACATAAATCGTATTTGAGTAAATACATGAGACCAACTATTGAATTTAAAACACAAAAATAAATATTGTCCATAAAAATCATATGTGATTAAATGCATATAATCACATGTGATTATATGTACCTAATAACATCTGATTTACGCGGACAAGATTCATTATTTCTTTCTCAATTCAATAGTTGTCCTCATATACTTAATCACATGTGATTATATGTATCAAGTCACATATGATTTATATTGATAATATTCGTTTTTGTATTTTTGATTCAATATTTTTTCTTATGTATTTAATCATATGTGATTGTATGTATTTAATCACATATTATTAATGTGGAAAAAGAAAACCTATTGAATCGAAAACGCGAAAATGAATCTTGTGTACAAAAACCATGTGTGACTAAATGTACAAGAACAACTGTTGAACAAGAATGCGAAAAGGAATCGTGTCTATATAAATCATATCTGATTAGATACATATAATCTCATGTAATTAAATACATAAGAACAACAAATGAATCGAAAACACGAAAATGAATATTTTTCACATAAAGTCTATGTGATTAGATACATATAATCACATGTGATTATATGCATTTAATCACATAAGATAATTGTGGACAATGTTTATCTTTGTATTCTTGATTCAATAGTTGTTCTCGTATAGATAATCATATGTGATTATATGTATCTAATCACATATGATTTATATAGGCATCATTATTTTTTGTCCATATAAATCATATGTGATTAGATACATATAATTACATGTGATTATATGTATTTAATCACATATGATTACAATTGACAAAGAACAATTACTGAATCAAGAATATGACAATGAATCGTATCTATATAAATCATATATGTATTTAGTTATATATGATTTATGTAGACAATATTTATTTTCCCGTTTTTGATTTAATAGTAGTTCTCGTGTATATAAATACTTGTGATTATATATGTATTTCATCACATATCATTTATAGAGACAAGATTCGTTTTTGTGTGTATAAATCATATGTGATTAGATACATCTAATCACATGTGATTAAATACAAGAGAAAAATTATCGAATCGGGAAAGCAAAAAATGAATGTTGTCCAAATAAATCATATATGATTAGATACATATAATCAAATGTGATTACATGTATTTAATCACATGTGATTTAAATGTAAAATTTGTGTCATCTACTTAATCACATGAGATTATATGTATTTAATCGCATATGGTGTATGTGGAAAATATTTATTTTAGTGTATATAATCACATGTAATTATATGTATTTAATCACATATGATTTATATATACAATATTCGATTTTCTAAAAACTCAATCATTTATTTAAATTCAATAATGTTTTTTTTTTTATTTCACACTCTCGTCACATGTATTTTAACATCAAAAAAAGGCTCTATCACATGCTATAGAATTTATATAATATAATTAAACTAGTGAGCAAATCTATTGTTCTATTATAGAAATTTATTATTGTAAAACAAATCGTATACAAATTTTATCCAATATAAAAAGTGAAATATCCGTATCTTTATTGATCCTGTTGTTTAAGTTATATTAGAGTTCACTTATCTAAATATGATATTATAAGTTTATAACATACTTAAGTATATTATTTCTCTTTTGTTTAAAAAAACGCATTGGAGATTTGTCAATAACAATAGTTATTTATCCTTTAGTGAATATGAGTGATTTTAATAAAAAGACTGTATACAGATGTGTTTTGACAATAACGAAAATCTAAGTTTTTAGTTTAATTAAAGCTTCCCATTAATGTATAAGAAAAAGATTATTCATTTTAATGAAGTGAATGGACTTATACCTTAACTTGATAAACTTGTACATTATTGACTTTCAAACATATCAAGCCAAAGGAAATTATGCTAACCAGGGATAAAGAATATCTTGCTTCTTGAAAGTTATCGGAAATCAAAAAGTCCACCATATTTGTAATCATTTTCCGGAAAAAATGACACGAAATTGACTTTTATGCCCATCGATCGTAAAGATGACTTTTTGTTGATTTGATTTCTACAACAGATCCAGATCTGGAGACTCAAAAACTCTAGGTACAGTTAGTTTGGTATTTTCAATCTCGTCGTCACTGTCTTTGTTCTGTAACTCGTCTAGGAACCACACATCCTGCTTGGCCTCCTCTACACCTACAACGGTATTGGATTCCGGTGGATAGTTCACTAGATTCGTGACTTATTTTGTGAAGATCAGGAACCAGATCTAGTGGCTTTCAACTTCAAATTCAGATCCCATGACATTAGATGAAGGAGTCGATTTAGAAAAGAAGAGGAAGCGAAGCAGATTCGTAGAAGCGGAAACAACATTAAGGCGGTGGTCCGACAATGCCATAATTAAGTACTACGAAATTACAACTAGATCTGGATTACTGTGAGATTAATTTGTAGCATAATTAGATCTAGGATCTTAGGATTGTAAGATTGTACAATGATTTTTTTTTTCTTTTTTAATTTGTACCCACATCGGAGCAGTTGCTCGAAGTTATAATGTATCTTTAGCGTTTTTATGCTTTCAATCCTAAACTATTAACTTATATCTCTATTCTAATAAAAAAATAAGTTTATTCTCTTTTTTGTTATGTGTCATCCTATTAAGTCTCCTAATTAAGTAAGGTAATGTCACTCGTCTACCAATTGATTTTCCATTTCAAATTTCAAAATTTTGCACTTTAATTACATTAAATTAATAACATTAGAATAAAAATTAAAATAAAATAATACAGATGATAAGGTGATATAATTTTATATATTTATTTAAATCAACGATTATAATTTTATATAACTACAAAATATAGTTTAACTAATAATTTATTTAAAATAATTTATTGATAATTTTAAGTTTTTACTATAAAATTTTAATTAAGTTTGTAATTATAATTTCAACGTGTTGTAAATTTGTGGTGTTGTAAACTAGTGGAGTATGTTTATCATAACCAAATAATAATTTAGCTATGTGTTATAATTTATAGGATGAAAAAGTATGTAAGTGAAGTACTAAAAATTTCTTTAAAATCCGGAAGCCG